GTTTGAATATCCATCTATGTATACATAAAAACCTCCGAAATGATTAATTATCGCTTGTATAAAACGTTTAATACGAAAGTAATGGAGGTATTTAAACTGTTATAGACGTGTTATGTCGGTAAGCTTTTCCACTATTAAATGATCATTCTACTAATCTTTCTACTCCTCGAGTTACCCAAGCAATGTGATCAAGTTGTTACAATAAAAGAAACTCCGATGTCTTGTGGTTTTTAAGATTGATAAGGTCACTAAACGTCAACCTCTGTGGATTTTAAAATGTATTTTCAGTTGAAATACGTCTTTATTGATAGTCATCCTCGGGTAAAAAATGACGGAGCAGCTTAAGATATCTGAGACATTCTGTAATGTGTGGCGTATGATTAACAAACCAATTAAGATCCATGTGTATTGACGACAATTGGTGGTGTGACACCTTGCCTCACGGGAGATTGGAAGTTGTTTGTGACGACCGTTAGGTTGTCAGTCAACAAAGAAACAAAACAAACGGATGCACAACGAAAGCAATTCAGAATCTAACACGGTTTGTGATTTATTTATTCAATATCAGATTTCATTAGTTAATATTTATCTTAATGGAATTTAAATTAATTTTAATCTTAACGTATAAAAAAGAAATACTCGATATTGCATCCTTTCAAATATGATGACGTGTTTTTATTGCAAACGAATTAATATGCTGTTCGATATGTTTAAATTGAGCTTATTTAAATTTTGATAATTCTTTTTGGCTTTAAATGAACACGTGTCATATTACATTTAGATTTTTAAAGATTCTTAACAAAAATATAACCTTCGATTCCCATCCAGAATAATATATAATCTGGTATGTAACCAGATTATTTTTGTCCCACAAGTCCACTAGTAAATCTTATCAAGAGGCCCAATGGACTTGTATCGCTCGCCAGCTATTTAAATACTGGTATGCTAAATAGCATGACTCTGCACATTATTGATCTTAGAAGGGATATTTTATTACTCTACATCCGAGGATTGCTCATTGAGTGTTATTACTTATTTCATTCATCACAATAACTTTCAAAAATGATCTAGGTCACGAATTTAGACCCGAACGTTATAGCATTTTATCCTAAGCCTCTTGGTTTCCTCATTTACCTCAAGGTACTGGCAGTAGGTCGGTGGTTTTCTCCGGAAAATCCGGCTTTCCTCCACCACCGAACCTGACACGTCCTTAAATGACCATAGCTGTTAATAGGATGTAAAACATAAACAAACCAAAACAAACCTCTTTTTTTTAAAAGAAGTTGTTAAAATGTTCCCCTTGACCATGAAAGTCGGTAAAGTAAAACGATTTGAAATATAAGATTTATCTTAATCAAAGCATGCTGCTTGCTCAAGATCCATCACCATACGCCTCTTGGCTACCCAGAACAAGTCGTTTAAATGTTTTAAAACATTTTATTCTCTCTGACCATAAAAGTGGGCCAGGGTCATTCATTTAAACAATAAACTTGATAAACCTTTATCAAAACATGCGACTAGCTGGTATCACAAATATTTTTTGAAATTTAAAAGAAGTTATTTTAAAGTTTTAACACATTTGACCTGTTTGACATGTAAAAAACAACAAATAAAATGTCTTTCGTTAAAACAACAAACTTGATAGTTCATCATCCCAACATTCTACAGGCCAGGTTCTAGGTTATTCGGAAGAAGTTGTCTTAAAATCTTAACACACTTGACATTGAAATTGGATAAAGATTCATTCATTTAGATAGAGTTGATAACCCTCCATCCACTCATGACCCTTGGACTCTTAGTTGTCAAGAAGAAGTTAGTCAAACTTTTTAACACATTTGACCCGCGTGACCTTGAAACCCGTGTACAAACTTCACGAGCTGTAGTTTGAAACTTGACAGCCCTTCGTCCCAGCATGCCACAGCCAAGTTACAAAACCTCATGCACTTGACAAGATGCTTAGTTTTAGATTGCTTAACACAGTGGAAAAAAATAGATAAAAAAGTACAACAGCGCCGATATACAAGGACACGAGCTCAAAATGGTCACAAAAACTACAATAAGGGTTGAGGACATAAAAAACAACTGAAATAGCAATGTTATTTAGTCTTGTCAACACTATTTATTGCTGTTCTGGACAAACAAGTGAGTACAAAGGAAACCCTACCAGCTGATAATAATGAGACACGCAATGGTTTCGTCATCCTCACACTTTCGTCTTCAAAACAGATATCAAAACATTGATTTTTGGACCTTTATATTGCTTGTGATACCTGTGGAATGTACTAGTGCGAAACAGTGATCATATTAACAAGCTATTATTAGACGCAGCGAGCTATAACCGACTACAACTATCAATATTAATGGGGTATGCCATTACACATCAGCAAAGGCCGCCGTACTGTGACGTGTTTGCTACACAAGACAACACAACAAACATTTGTATAGCGTACGACATTGTTAGAAGGCCCTAAGAATCTTAATAAAAGCGCTCATTTTTAATGTTTTGGTAATTTGAAAGAGAACAGCTTTTGGGACTCTTTCTGCTATGAAATGACATGGATGCAATTATCAGTCATAAAGATCCATACGAAGCGACGACAGGAGAGCGCTTCATATGCGGCGCAATATAAATATGTAACTAGTCGTAGAATGACGCAGCATTTTATTTTATTAATCAGCGCGCACTTTACAGAAGGTGAGGTCATTATCCACAGGACAGGAGATGTAGACTGACCTTCACTGGTCAATTACTGGACATTGGTGTTCTGACCGTTGCTAATATTCATGTAAGTCGTTGACATTGCTAAGCTGTCCCGTTTCAGAAGGACGCAAAGAGATACATCTAGGAAAACGGTTTCCATGGTTACTTGCAATAGTTTATAGTGAACTTCCGGTCTACACTTGTTTAAAGTGACTTCCTGTTTATCGCTTGTTTATAGTGACCCCTGGTTTACCATATGTTTATAGTGACGTCTTGTTTTATGTTACAGTGTTTCATGTCTAGTGCTTTTGCTTTTTTGGCCGCATGAAAGATTAATCTCGGGGACACACACAATTATCTTTCTATCTAAGGGCAAGAGCCTTTTAGGAATTATACCCAGTTTAAATTTTAATTGTTGAATCGGACTAAATCAAGGAACCTGGTTCTTCAAATATACCATATGCATATTCCAGTCGCTTGAGCCATTTACCATTTTGAGTGACATCAAATTTAAGATACATCCAGTACCAACAGAAGTGCTGAACGTATCAAGGTATCAAGGTCAAGGTATCAACGTATCAAGGTCAAGGCCTTGCGATGAGATACTCTCTGATAAACAATTTTTGTTGAGTCGTATATACAGTTAATAGTTTGTTGGTGTTCATGTAGAAAATTGTCATCTCGATGTTTCAACAGTTTTAAACAAAAAGGACATATTAGATAAAGACCGGCATTTCTTTATTTCGTTCTTCGTTCTACGTTTCTTCACCAGGTGGCGAACGATGGCTGTTCTGAAGCAGGTTGCACCAGTGGACGAAACCAGACAATTGCTACTGAAGGATCTATTTTAAGGGAAGAAACATTTAACAGTAACTGTTTCCACAGATACATTGGGTTGGACCACTCAAGTGTTCATCACTTCCCGTGCCTCTGTTGCCTTCACCTTGTAAATTCGATTCCTTCTGGTATTTTCGTTTCACTAGTGCCGTTTGTATCAGGGAAGACCAAAAACACGACTCTTCAACATTTAAGATAAAAATGATTATCGACTAATAAATTAACCAACGTAATACCAAGATCGTATAATTTCTGTAAAAAAAGTGTGTGTGTGTGTGTGTGTGTGTGTGTGTGTGTGTGGATATATTTATCAAAATCTATGTGAGTCTAGGATATATGGCCGAGTATGTTGACATATTATTTCCTTTTCATGTTGGCTTTATTCCAAACTACCAAAAAGTATCAGCTGCAGGTCCAGAGAAATGAAATAGTTTAGTTCACGATATCATTTAATTGATTACTGAGATAATGACTGTAAAACCAACTATCCGAATTATAGAAACGTGGGAATAACGAAAATCTAACTGTACCACAAAATATAAATATTTTCATTTTTCCATTTCAGTCCAGTGTGGTATCAAAAGACGAACCAGAGATGAATTATTAATCTTCTCCGAAATCGATTAAAAATGTTTCGTCCCAGCAACGAGTGCCATTGACCGATGTTTACTGCGGTCCGACCGGAAGTGCGTCATCGCTAGTTGCCGTAGCCGTAGAAGGACGATACATTTGGTTTGTATACTTGCTATAAATCAGAGAGGTAACCGATAAACGCCAGTATTGTTTACATCGTTGCAGGAGGCACAGTTACTGATATATATCTTTACCTTTATTCACAGGTATCTACAGGTATTCAAAAGTAGACATCAGAAACGCATCTCTCACAGCTATCGCCGAGAGCGTGCTTGACCCCTGCATGGAATTGTTGCCTTGTTCAATTGTTACAAAAGAAAAGAATGCTACTATAAGACACTTTTCCCCCTCTCCCACTATTGACGTCTATTTAGGTGTGAGACTTTCTTAGGGAGTGAGAACAAACTTAGATTAATGTATTGGGAGTGCAAATCGTTTCTCAGGGCATTGTATTTGCAAGGTTGTGAAAAGAGATCTCCATTAAAACCCAATATATCTTTGTATGTCAGTTACAAGTCAGCATCGTCTTTGTCGCGTGGAGCTTGCTTTGACCTTTGAAAACGATTCAAACTTAAATGATAAATGGCGTTATTGACTCGCGGAAGTCATCGTATGTTCTGACTGTCCACGAGAATATAAAGCGTTCCATGTGCCCAGATACGTCCTCCTCCACTTTTGGTTAAATTTCAGTTCTTGGGTATGAGAGAACACCTTTGTTTTCATGTTTCTCGTGTAGCTGACAATTTTTCACCCGGTTAGACTCACGAACACTGAAGAATATTGAAGAAAACATTTTTGAATTCAAATTGAAATTTGGGCGTGTCTATAGTGTCAGGTTGGACTTGGAGATATGAATAGTGATTTGATGGTGTTTATTTGTATTAACGGTTTTGATAGTGGACGTAGGTAAATGATACGGACAGGTAAACTTACCTGGGTTATGTATAGGTATATGTTTACAGGTATAAACACACATCTATATACATACCTGAAATACACAGGTGCTCTGTGGTAACTGTGCATGTATACAAACACGGCGATATACATATACATACAGCCACAGGTATGCTCAGGTGTTTTCTGTATACCCAGATACACACACAGGTGAGGTTCGGGCCGCGCTCTCTCTGATCACAAGTTTACAACGGTATACCACGGACTCACCGAGAAGACGGACTACCTTCTATACCATGGAGGCAACACAGGTGATTTGAAATAATTATTTCTACATTTTTCTGCTAACGAATATTCGTTGTAGGTAGGCTGAGCTGAGACTTGAAGTCAGCAGCGAACATAAGTTAGTGATCGATCACCGTCAACTGACCAAGTCTGGCTTTGAAGCTGAGCGTTCAGTTATCAGGTTGAAGGCAGTGTAGCGTGTATGTATGAGACTCCGTGGGCTCCGTGGTGTGGGAACGGACGGGTGACACTATCTATTTAGGCAGTACAGCTTCCAATTCTAGCAATGTGTGTTGACATTCAATTTGTTCTCGATGACAAATGTGATTTTTAATTTTTGGACGTACTGTATCCGAGTGGTGAGTTGAACGCGTAGCATGTTTGTTTTTGGTACTCGTTGGTATATTGATATTTCTTGTTATTGATATATTTTATATAGTTAACGTTTTAAAATATACTGAAATGTCATTTATATTGATTTCACACTGTATCATGATGTAACACATTAAACAATAATAGGTAAGACTCCTAAATTCTCATTGATATCCTATTTTTTATAACATTTTGTTTTGGAACAAGCCTTCGAAGGCTTTAGGTCAAATACGCGTGCTTTGTAATGGTGACTGTTTAATACTAAAAAAATATAGATTACTGACGTGCGGGAATTATAGATACCGACTTATGTTTCATACTGTCACAAAGACCGGTATACAAAATACCTTGTTGGAGATCGCAAGAACAAAATCGTTTGGAATTTAAGAAGAAACTAGATACCGTATGTAAGGCCTTGTTACGACGACATACACGAGAGATTGTTTAGAAATGTTTGCTTCGCGTCAGAATAATTCGATTTGTCATTGTTACTATTGTAAGATTAATTTCATGTTACATATATAAAATATGTCTTACAGATTTTTAATATTACCGTCGTTGACTAGAAACTTGGCTAGGAATTTCTTTAACATAAATAGAATCCTAAAAAGACGGTGTATTCATGTACATATATATATATATATGTGTGTGTATTTGACAGATCAATGACTCGTATCGAACTGTGTGTATTTACTATTCTTAAAATATTCTTTGTAGATAGATTGGGCCCAGCGCTACTGGAGTCGTTTTGTCTGTTATCAAATATCATCTAACTATTCCAACTATATTTTCTTTATTTCAGGAACTTGAAATGTATATAGACAATGGCCGGTTCGCCAAACAGTGCTAGGAGTCACAGTAACGCAACAATAGACAACAGTGGTACAGCTAGCCCAGCCGCATCTATCAACGGAGACGTTTTGTCCCGAATTAATGAAAGTTACCACGAATCAAAAGCAAACCAGATCTTCCGACTTTTACAAGATCAGGAGAATCTAAACAAAGTGTTAACGTCAAAGCCTAGCTGCGTAAAGTTAGCAAAAGACGACGAAGACGAAATCGACGACAGTTTAAGCGAGGATTCTTTGAAAGCAACTGAAAAACGGCTTTCAGTCCGGCTATCGTTACATAGACAAAGGGGCGGGAGGTCGAAGTCTTCTGTGGGATTTTATCACAATGCTGAGGATATAAGTTCTGACGAAGACAACGAAAAAACCGACGAAATGGCAGAACAAGAACGTCAGATAAACACGCGGGTCAACAGACCCAAATCAAGCTATGTAAGACGAACCACGATGTGTCAGAGTTATGGTGACAGCGACGATGAGCCTCGACCGCAGGTTCGGCCAATGTCGCGTTGCGGGGTTCGAAGCGGGGACCCTCGGAGTCGTCGAATGGTACTTAAGGAAACCAACTACAATAACCAACAGGAAGTTCCCTTCAGGAATCAAGTAGACGCGGATCTCGACAAAGATTCTGTGGACGGAACAAAGAACTATGATAAATACGCGAACACACGATATGCGCCTACGACTGGTCTCATACGGCAGAGATCACGGATCAGAGGATTTTGTGACACTAGTATGGCGACCGATATGTCTGTCTCTTCATCAAGTACTGACAACATGAACGCTAAAAATAACTGCCAAATTCAGGAGGAGACGACGGTTCTTTCCATAGATCCCCCGGACTCGGCACGGGAGTCTTCACCTCTACAGAAACACAGGAGACAGCAACTGAAATCTGCACGGTCGAATAGACCGACATCTGAAAACGTGTTCTTAGTACGACAGCGGACGGAATCCCGCCTTTCAAGGGGGCCCCATACTACCACATCTAGGCCCAAATCAGAAAAAACTTTAGTTAACGCGTCAGGGAATACAAAATCTCTCTTGACTATTGACACCAGTCCAAACCAGGGCACAACATCATCAAAGACTTACCAGTCACAGCAACTCCCTCTTAACACACTAACGCAACCACAGCGGCTTCAAAGGGAAAGTTACGACCGGAAACCGCAAGCGAGACCGGTCTCGCGTAGGGCTTCTCTCCGAGCTGAAGGTTCGGGGGCCGTTAGGAGTTCAACAAAAAACATGTCTGTATATGGGGGAAGAGCACAGGCTATTGGACTAATGAAGCTACCCCCTCTGGACCCGGCCGTGAGTCAACGAGCCGAGCGAGCGCTAGTCATCCCTACCGGAGAAACGTGTGCTTAGGTAACCATGGAAACTGCAACGTACTTCCTTATTCAAATGTGCATCACGTACTTCCGGCTCATAAAGCGGGGGAGGTTTTATTGTGGACAACTTATTTGAGGACTCTTGGAGCTACTTCCGGCTTGAGATAGAGTTTTGGCGTTGTACCACATACTTTAATGACAATTTCTTTGGAGACGTGGTACAACTTACGGATTGATAAGTAAGGAAATCCCATAATATTTCCATCGAATTGATAAGTGAATAAGTCATGTATATATATGCCTCATGGTAATACTTTTCGAATCTTTTTCTGTTGTTCCATTTATTAAGTCGCCGAGGAGACATTTCTTCTTTAAAACCTGAACTGAATTGTTTGTTCTCAGTTAGTATTGCTTCTTATGACGTCAGATTCTTACTGTCAACGTTCATTGTCTTTACAGTAAAGACGATATCCACAAGGTATATATATATATATATATATATATGTATAACTTAACGGTGTGAAATTAGCATGTCTTCTTCACTGAAAGAAGTCACAGTGGATTGGTCGATATTTGTTTCACTTGGGAAAAGAATGGATTATTGAACCAAGGTTTGATAAATACAGGTACGTTCGTGGACGTTGTTCCCTTAATTTTAAAATGACCATTTAATTTTAATGGTACAAAAACAAATATGCATTGACATATTTACCTGTCTTTTGGAGGAAAAACAACAACAATTAAATGTCGAATTAAAAATATATTATTTGACTGATTATCATCGTTACTCGTTTGCTGTACTTCAAAGCAACCGACCGTGAAATTGTAACTGCTATGGTTGAGATGCGTTAGAAAGGAGGCAGTTTCTAAAACGGCAAGCGATACCTGTACATGTCAAACAGAAGCAATTCTTTGCTTTCAAATTCTTTTGTTATGATGGAAATTTAAATACTTGTTATAAAACATGTTTCCTGATTAAACATTTTAAGAAATGTATGTTTGATGAAGTTGTTCGTTATTTACTACAGAGTGTTGTTGGAATAGTTATCTCGCGTAGCTTGGCAACTTAATCGCTTTGACCCCAGCGTGACCAATTCCTTTGAGCGTATGATTAATTTGTCAATTTAAACATGATTTAAACAGAAGCTATCGATTTGGTCCTTATCTCCACGACCAGAGCCCCACATTAAACGAGAGTGTCTCGTACCCGGGCTCGGGCGGGAACGTACACCTGTACAGCTAACTAAATACAAATTGACGTATGTTTTATACCTTCTTGAACTTGCTCAGATTTGTATTTATTATTTTTTTTGCGGTTCATAATCTTAATGACGTATACTATTTGTTTTACGGTTGTGTATATATTTGTACGGAGTCCCTTTAACAAGCTATCAATGTGTATCTTGTATACCTTCTGGCCTGTCTGTTTGTAGTGTCGCCTTGATCACGAGGTCTTTGTTTACCTGCATACTCAATCGTAATAAGTGCAAAACATTTATGCATTATTTATTTGTAGACACATTAGCAATGCGAAAACACATAATTTAATGTTTAACGTCAAATTTTAACTCAAACACAGATGTGTCACATGTATGCTGTGAATAACACTTTTAACCCAAATTCAAATTACATTACAATCATTGCACAAGGAATATTATAATTAGTGAGCACGCGCTAACGACACGTAACCCTAATACATACCTTGCTCTGCGAATAAATATTCTTTGACATGTGTCACAGATAGCGTCATAGAATGGTGCGACAGACAGACGCCATAGACAACTAAGACGAGGGTAGTGCTTTTGATGTGCGCCCAAGAAACTACATTGACAGGCACACAGACACAAACCAGAAACAACAGGCGTTTTGCAACTTTGGTGTGCGTAAGAGACAGGCGCCATATAGGTAACTGTGACTAAATTGAAAGACAGGCGCCCTATAGGTATCTTTGACTTACTCCAAAGACATGCGCCATATGACATGCGCCATGCTTTTTGGTTAGTGACATTAACAGGCGTCATAGGTTTTAATAGGCGCCATGGTAAAGTGAATTGGACAGGCGCAAAAAAACAAATAGCACTACATTTCGATATTAATGATACGTGAAATATGAGAGCCAAGTTCTGGTCATCTGGAACGCGCCACTGAGAAAAACATGCACAATAGACAATTGACATGTGCATGCGCGACAGACCGTCGCCACATACAAGCAGTTATGCAGAAACAATAATGGTGGGCTTGTCCTCAGCACATCACAGGAAATAGGAATATTTCCGCCTCTATATGCACATTCGTAAGTGATTTTAAAAAGCAAACAGCACGAAACCAGACGCCATTGTTTGCATTTCATTTCCCACAAATGTCGACCGCATTTCCATCGGTGTTTGGGGAATTCAAATCGGCGCCATCAACCATTAAACATTAAAAACACGAGATCTGCTAAAACAATTTGTAAGTACATGTTCCATTTACGTCCTATTGATGGTTAGGTAATAATATGTTACCCGAAAGGCCAGGGGTGAGTTTTACTAAGCAACTTAAGTTACGATTTTATCGTAACCTTATCTTACGTTAAATCTCCGTCTTACTAAAGTTCGTATCCTAAGTTACGCGTAAAAAACCATCGTAACTTACGACAGCTTAGGGGCTACCCTAACTTACGATTTTTTCTTAAGTAATGAACTTTCTTTACTCAAATGGATTTATTTAGCGCTACAGGTTTCTTTGACGGGTGGCTTGTGAACGACAAGATCTAACTTCATCCCAGCCCATATGTTGTTGGATGATTTCTTCGCTTTTCTAAAGTACAGTATTTAAACAGACACAATTGCATTTTAATTTTGTCTTTTTTTTTTTTTTAAACGAAAATTGTTGCCATAATCCTTAGCTCCTGCTACAACAATTAATTGTATCGAGGCGTAAAAAGAAAAGGAAATGTAGATACAGTTCTCCGTGTTTGTTTTTAGGGGTCTTTAAACTGATATTGATAATCATCATATGAGAATATATTCAAACCAATCATATAAAATTAGTAATTGATTCACTGAAACCATAATACAATTACAAGTTTACATTTTTTCTCGGATATATTTAAAAGATAAGGTTAGTGCAGGCAAATTCGCCATGCACCCAAATCGCCAACCGGTGACGTAATTGTGTCATATCACGTCATATTTACAGAAGATGTGACGTAAATAACGTCACTGGAGTCATCAGCACAGGCACAGCTTTTAAACATAATGACAAGAAGCGGTATAAGAAGAAAAAACAATATTATTAATTTAAACAGTTATAAAATCGCTTGTAACATGACGACGATCTAAAACATTTGGTCTGTGCGCTGGACATCTCGTCAACTAATACGATCAATCTTACACGTACAAATTGTGGTAACATACTCTACACAGAGGAGAGGAAACAAGGGATACTTTTTGTTGAAATGAATAAATAAGTAGATAAATAAATAAATAAAAGGACATACTGTAGCAGTACAGTAAAGAAAGACCATAATGATGTTAAGGTTCAAGTAACATCTTCTACACAGCAGGCACAATAATATGTTTCTTTTTTTTAATAATCTGAATATATTTATGATGGTTGGTATTACAACTGTGTAAGTATTTAGGAGCTATATGGTACACAAACCATACGTGAGAAGGATGGTAAATCGGTACACATTTTTGATAAATAACTTTTTATATTTCTGGATCCAATTACCTACAAAAAACACACAAGACTAGCTAGTTTACTTTGATAAGATTCAGACAGTAATCACGCCAGTTATCTAGCTTTCCTTCAAATGATAGTTTCTATAGTATATGTCAGCAATGTGCGAATCCGCTGACTTGTCAGCAATCAAGAACCGCGGTTAGAATCCTGTGCGTAGAACATCTCTCAATTAATCAAAGGATGCCACGTGCACCGTCACGTTCAATGAAGCATTGCAAAAAATAGTATAATCAGCACTTTTCTAATCGTGGCAAAAGTACCTGTAACGTTGACCTTAAAGGACTTAAAGAAAAAACAATATTGTTGAAATATGGTTTGATTTTAATCATGGACTTAAATGACTGCATGTATATTCCACTACGTACATTGTATACATTATTACGGTAGTTTACTGAATTGTGCTTGAATGATAGAAGTGGCAAATCAAACTGGCGGGGAAATGTTTTTCGTAATTTTTGTTCTTAAAACAAATGAAACAGCAGTTTCCGACCCTGCCGTGAATTGTTGTTGTTGGTTGATTGTATTAAAAAAAAATAACGATCTTACGTAAACAGCATTTCAACTATCACAACCTAGAAAAGTTATATTTATTTCAATGTTAATCATTGTTAAACACACACATTTGGAGCTGTTTGTATCAAACATTGAGCAAACCACGGAATGACTGACGTCACAAATGTTGCTGCGTCACGTCATTCAGGCGTGTTTACAACAATGTTTATTTAAAGACATTTCAGTAAAATCTTCTGTATTGGTGAACGTCGTCATTTTGATACTATGCATTCTATATTCGGACGAATTATTAGCTGAAACCATTACTAATGTGACGAATTTGCCTTCACTAACATAAGCATGAGCTTGGACACAAGTTAATTGTACAGAACCGCGATTCTTACATAGATCCCCCCTCACCACGAGACGTATATATACTACACTTCTACAATCTGCATATCTCTGCCCTAACCCTTCCCAGGGTATTCACAAGAACATTTCTTTCGATTTTGTTGTTGTTGTTTATCTGAGTTGAAACGAAGTAGAATGTATGAAACAAACCCCCTCTTTTCACATCTATTTCTAATGTAGCGGCATCAATGACGTGACCTACGTATACGTCAAATGTAGGCATGCTGCCAATCTTGGCCAAAAAAAAGGCGAAACTGGCGACTGCGCTTGCGTGGTGTTTGTTACTAAGATGAATCCTACCTTCAACACAAGAGAGTTCCGAAATCTTAACTTACGAAATGTTCGTAAGTTAAGTTTACGACGAAACTTACGAACGCTTTAGTAAAACAGACACTTCGTAACTTAAGTTTAAACTTACGAAATTCGTAAGTTGGATTTTTTTGCGTAACTTAAGTTGCTTAGTAAAACTCACCCCTGGTTCTATCTCTGTTAACTGGGATGTCTTAAACATTTACTTGACAAAGTTTTGTTTATACGTCGCTATGATTTCTGCTTTATTTATATTTCACTTACCAAAGCACGAAACACATATTCATTTCCTTCAGATGGGATTTAAATATATTTCAAAAGCAATGAAGCTGATCATGAAACCTAAAATATAATTCGGTTTTTACTAAGTAGTAGGAGGTCAAAATACGTGATGAAGACTCGTGTTTCGCTACCACAATGGACAGCTGATGCGGAAGTGGGTTGGTGTTTGTCTGGGTGTTGTATCATAGCTACAGGTGTACACACTGATAACGTATTAAAACACACTATCTACTTGTTTCTACCCGACAAATGGCATGACGGAGGGCCATGAATAAATTATGTCGCAAAGTACGTTTACTTTTACGACATTTTCTGACAATTAATGTCTTGTTATTGCTCACAGTATGACGCTACCACTTTTCTCGTCCGCCATCCGTTACTGTGGTCGACACTTAACGGGGTAGATAAAGGGATGAATGTCATTCCGTCACTTATTAGCACTCTAATTGGAGAATTTGTGACGTAATCGTTGTATCCAATTATTGTAGAAATTTTAAGTTGATTGCCTATAAACGATTTTCATATTTTTTTGCTGTTTCTGGATGCTTAATAGTGACGTCTGGTTTTTTTTGTGACGTTTCATATAGACGGCCGCCACCTAACGTGGTTCAGCTCAACATTGTGATATTGATAGACATAATTGGTATTACATCACACACACACAGCAGGGTGTATTTTTTTTTCTTAATTTAATTTAATTCATTTCAGTGCATGAATAGTAACAACATGGTAACTATGCATTTTCATTTCCGACCACTCGTAGTAGATAATT